TTAACCGGTTTTCAATTCATTCCTATGGGAAATGGTGTTTCACAGAACGATGTTTCACACAACGTTGATTTTTTTGGAACCAATTAACATCGTTGTGTGAGGCACCACTGTATAGCTTAACATATAAGTAGCTCTTAAACCAGAACAAACAAAAGCGTTTTTGTGTGGCTCCAACCACATGAGCCTATTGTATATCCACTGCATAGCGATTGAGCAATTCATGCAAATACCCACTCTGTTGAAAATTATCTTTGCTGTGCTCATAATTTCCCCATGAGCTTATCTGTCAATGGACCGACTCCTCTGAATGGCCTTCTCTAGATGAAACTGCATGTTCATCTCAAAATCGTAAGTTAGTGCATGGTATCCTTTACTTGAGCCAAAGCACAGAAGAAGAAAGAAGCATTTGTACTTGCTAAGAAGGCAGGGTTGGTAGTTCTTTGCTTTTTTTTTTTTTAGATTAACAAATCTGAGGTAAAGAATACCCTATCAGTATTCTTTAACCTCCACTCTGATATTGGCCAAAGTTACATGTCCACAAACCGTTTGGCAAAAGCTTTCAAAAAAAAATGGAGCAGTGACACAGAGTGATAAAAACATGGCTCAAGAGTCCGGACTTGCAAACTCTTACTCACTTCGACCACAACCTCGCTGGAGTCCTTCTCCTCCTTTACCGTCACGTGCCTGCCCAGTTTCCGTTTCTCTTTTCTTGACCGCTGTTCCTCTTCCAGTTCATCCTCTACTGTGCTGATGCTTCTCTTTCGGGAGTTGACCACCTGGCAGAGATGAAGACAGCATCACTCACAAGAGAGGATTTAGTCAGGGACAAGTATCATCCTCTCTTTTTTCATCTGAGGTGGCTGGACAGCTCAGGGGGTCGGGGAAATCTGGCTATGGAGCCAGAGGTTGGGCGCTCGAACCCCTTTTACCAGGCCTTCTGGGGTTACCGCCAGCCTGCGTGGCCCCCAGTAGGGCAAGCTGTAACCTTCCTAAGTCCTTGAAGATCATGTAAAACCACTGCCACCATAATGAGGGGTTTGGGGGAAGAGGGTCCATACATGCCAACATACTTCTAGCTTCCACTCTGCGATGGAGGTTATGAGTAGCCGTGTTTTGCTTCCACATTTGGGAAACGCTGGTCATGCCGAGATTGCTGTAATGACCATTGTCAGAGGCCATTCCAAAATTGAGATCCAGATTGTGTACAGTGGTACCTCGACTTACGAACGTCCCTACTTACTGTATATTTTGACTTACGAGCAGCTCAGGTCCTTTTGCTTCGACTTGTGAACGAAGCTTCCACTTATGAACGGAAACAGGCAGGGGGAAAAAAAGGGGGGGATTCAACTTCCTAACTGTAGGTGGCAACGAAGCTGCTTCTTTGTGCTGTAGCTCTTTCGGAAGTTATAGGGTGTGTCGCAGTTGGAGGCTTGGGAGAACCTCCTGCTTTGGAGTGAGCGTGTCTGTAGGGAGGTAAGCTGCTGTTTTTCTTTTAAAAAAACTGTTCTGGGTGGGGTTTTATGGCTCTGTTTTGGAGAGAGAGAGTGTGTGTGTGCACTTGCCTGCCTGCAGGGAGGGTTTGTTTCTGTGCTCTGCTTCAGAGCGAGTGTGTGCGTGTCTGTATTTTTGGAGGATTTTTTTCCTGCTTAAACCTCAGCAACGGAGGTGGCTCTAGTGTCTGTTTTTTGAGGATTTTTCTTAAAGCCTCAGCAACGGAGCACCTTCCGACTGGCCTTGCTGTGCTCTTTTCATTTTTTTGGTTACTTTTTTCCTCTGGGCAGCAATTTGGGGGAGGGGGAAAGCCATGGCTGCTGACTGGAGTGAGGGAAGCTCTGGAGGAGCAGGAGGAGGCGAGCAGGCAGGCAGGTGAGCGCTTCCCGGCCAGGTCTCTGGCCTTGGCCCTGTTCACTTCGGCCAGGCTTTGAGGCTCCCTTTCTCTCCTGGGTTCTGGTTTTTTGTTTGTTTGTTTGTTTTTGCAGCCCCAGGGTGTTCCTATGGGGCTCACAGTGTTTCATTGTTTTATTTTTGGAGTTTGGAGGAGCAGGAGGAGGCGAGCAGGCAGGCAGGTGAGCGCTTCCCGGCCAGGTCTCTGGCCTTGGCCCTGTTCACTTCGGCCAGGCTTTGAGGCTCCCTTTCTCTCCTGGGTTCTGGTTTTTTGTTTGTTTGTTTGTTTTTGCAGCCCCAGGGTGTTCCTATGGGGCTCACAGTGTTTTATTGTTTTATTTTTGGAGTTTTTCCCCCCTTCGGCCGGAATGGATTAATCGGTTCCCAATGCATTCCTATGAGAAACGGTGCTTCGACTTACGAACGCTTCGAGTTACGGACACTGTTCCAATACGGATTAAGTTTGTAAGTCGAGGTGTCACTGTACTCTGTGTCTATATGCATATACACACACCCTTTCACTACATATTCTTTTTCGCATTCTACTCTTATAAAATTTTCCATTTCCGTCCAGAATTCTTCTGGTTTGCAGTCAGCTGAGTTCAGTCATACAACTATGTTTTTTGGTAACGATGAACTGCATGCTCTGCCCCCCCCAAATGGGGCAAGCCTTGGCCCCAGTGACGAATCTCAGAAAGACTGGCCCTGATCCTGAGCGACTTCTCCAAGCTCAGAACGGGCAACGGCTGGTAGATCCCAATGGGTTCCTCTCAGTTCCCCAAAGGAAACAGATCCCATGCACTCCACCACAGAGGATCCAGGATCTGCTGCGGTTGCCACTGCGGGTGTCTGCATCCAAGCCAAAGCGTTGGGTTGCGTGACAACACAAGCGCAGAGCGGCACCGTGGGTTCTGCCTTCCTGGAAGGAGGGTGCCGTGTCGGCCTCAGAGGTAAAGGGACCGAATTCTGCTGGACTCCACGCGCTCAGCTTTGAAATCAAGCCAGCTTGGTCCAGTCATGAAGGAGGCCACTGGGAGTTGTTGGAGGCCACTATCTGTGTGAGGGACTTCAGCCTCACAGACGGGACACTTTTTCAACAGGCCAACGGAGGTACAAGCTTGAGGGGAAACTAGAGTATGAGGAGACAATGACTGATGGACAAAGGAGGTAGGGAATGTACTGTTCTGTAGAAAGGAAAAAGGAGAAGAGATCCGTGGAGTGCTCTCGTGTGCGCGGCAGCCTCAGTGGTGGACGGAGGAGGACTGAAGCCATTCTTAGTGACGACCGATGGATCTTGCTTTGTCAAGGTGTGGGGAAGGGGAATTTTCTTTTCCCTCTTCAGCTCTGGAAGGTCCTCTGCACGGCGTTTTGTCCAGGAACAAAACCCATGTGTGTGAATTTACAGAGACCGCAAAGAAAAAGAAACTGATGCAATTGTTAATAAAGAGGCCACTGGCAAAAATAAAAGGTGACAGAAACAGAGCCAGACTGCAAAAAATCAAGCGTGGGCTTGTACATCGGGACAAAAAAGCCCTGTATTATTATAATCATTGCGAAGGAATGGGGAAACCCCCAATAAAAAAATGAAGAATAAAACAGAGGATGCAAACAGTGTACTGAAAAGCTATACAGAAGAAATGCAAGGACGACAGATTCCTGGAAAGATGAAAGAATGTGAGATAAAAGCTGTTCTCGAATCACTTGGAAGAAACAAATCACTAGGAGTAGATGAGATATCGGCAGTTATTTCAAGCCCGCCAAAATCCTAACAAAAATATGCCAACAAATATGGAAAACAAAACAGCCTATAGCTAACAAAATTAGTAACGACCTAACATAAAAGAAGATATTTATATTTTTTTTCAAAACTGTGCATTAAAAAACAACCACCCATGTCCGTGGAGTTTTTGTGCCCCACCCTCTGCTCACCTGTGGCTGCTTGACAACTGGGGATTTCTTTGGCTGGGGCACTATTTTTGTGTGCTTTGGGCTGGGAGCCTGAAGGCCACTTTTGGAGTTTTGGAAAAGAGCGGGCGGTGTCCTCCCACTTGCTGTGAGTTTGGCTGGAAGCCTCGCAGGGGTGGTTGTGGTCCGCCCAGAAACTTCCACAAAGCACTGCATCCTGGGGGAGTGGGACTCTTCCCTGGGCATCGGGCTCTGCATTCTTGGGGAGCCGGTGGCTGGCCGTAGCAGGGAGCCCTTCTTCCGCTGGCTGATGGATCTGGAAGGAAGGGGAGGTGGTGGTGGGCCCGGGGGTCTGCTCGGGGCATTTTTAATCATATCTGCCAGAGGGGGAGACCGTGGCCTCTGTGGCCGGTCCGAGTTCTGCAAGAATGACAGGGAAGAACCAAGTGAGGTCATGCTGGTATAAGAGAGAGCTCATCTATAACTGCCCGCTGCCAAGCGGCACTCACCTCTAGCCCAGGTCTCGTGGTGACCTCCAGAGGCAGTTTTCTCAAGTCAGCTTGGGAACGTACCAGAGTTGTTTTCTGGAAGAGAGAAATGGACAGGAATCTCAGAAACTTGTCAAGGAAAGTCCCTGTTTTCTTGAAACCTATCATTTTTCAGTGAACATTGGGTTTCTACTCCTAGAAAACTGTAACAAGCCTGTAACAAGCTCATTTGAGCATTAAAGCTATTACTTCATTTTGTGATTTTTAAAGAGACGGAAGTATGTCCATGAATGTGTCTGGTGTGAACAAGAACACGTGCATATCTTTCTCAGTTTTTTTTTCTTAAATCACAAAATAAGGACACTGCTGTTTTAGCATGAGATTTTTCCACTGACAAATACAAAAGTTAGTGCAAACTACAGAAGCAAAACTGGAGATCTGAACTTTTTTGGCATTCTGCCAGACCAAAATACTCGAGGCTGTACACACCCAATCCCAAACGAAACCTAACTGTGCTAATTGGGAGAAATATGGACTTTTAAACAATTACTTGTAAGATCAGAGCACGCACACATGAATTTCGAGTGAATCAGAGTGATTAGCACCACCCTAACTGATTCCGACAAGAATCTCACTTTGAGCAGACAGGTGAATGGACAACCCTTATAAAAGAGCATGCAACCCTCCAGGCAGATCAGGTAAAGAGACTCACCTGCAGAGCGTCTAGCTTTTCCTGCTGCTGGCGAATTCTATCCGTCAGCTCCTTCTGCTTCTCTTCCTGTGACTTCTCTTTTTTCAGAACGCCCAGGGGAACCTTCTGCTTTTGTTCAGGAGCATCACACCTGTGAACACAGCACACCTGTGTCTGAAGAGGGGCTCCCTTCCCTTTTATTTCAAGTGTCTTCACCCCGGTGCCCAAAAGCAATGCAGCACAGCTCATATCTCACCTGAAACAGCCAGATTCCCCAGATTGATCTGCATTGTCTTCCTATTCCACTAAAGTCTCCCCCCCCCAATGCTCACATTGTTTCCCCACCTCTTCACCTCTCCCGTGGGCTCAGGGTGACAAGAGAGAAATATACTGCCCTCCTTATTCTAAAAAGAGCATTTGTGCAACTGACTTGTGACACCTCTCTTCCTTCATAGTTTCAGGAGCATCATTTTCCTCTTAAGAAAGCACTTTTTAATACAACCCATTATGAATTATGTTCAGCGCATAAGAAAGGAATGTTCAGAACTGAAGAAGGAAGCACTTTTTCATACAGCACATTATAAATTCGGTGCTACAGAATATTGTGGTGATTACCAGGAAAGATGGCCTTGAAAAAAAAGAAGGAAAAGACCCAGCTTTCAATAAACCCCCCAAAGAGCTTTCCACTTTTTTACAAATAACTAAACTGTACAGTTTTTTCTTGAGGCTGCCACTATTTTCTGTACTGCAAGTCAGAAACAAAGCCATGGGTATCTTCTGCAAGCCATCGTGTGGAGTATGACTCGGCCCAAGGGAAGGATCTGACCCTCTCTGTTGGGGAGATTTGGCATCGGCACAAGGCCAGTATCGTGTCATGGCCAGAGACCTCT